TGTACCAGGGGTTTTAGCTTTGCCTTTTAAGCTTCTGATGGAATAGCTTCAGTATCAGCATACTAATGCAAATATGTATGCAATTTGTTAGAACTGGCAACTCTATTGATGTAGTTGTTACTCTTTCGAGGGGATTTACTTTCGCTCATCTAATAGAATCAGACATTCTTTTTATGACTCTTCGTCGTTTTTCAGAATGGGCTCGCTACCACCTGCTTTGCTTGCCCGTCTTCAGAAGCGTGGAATAGTTAAAGCTAGTACGTTTAAATTACAGTAGTTTTCTTAAATTCATTTCGATGTTACATGACCAAAGTAAAGCTCTCGAGCTGGATGTTTTTGCCTTGAAACTGGCTGGATATATTAATCCAACAAATGAGTGGCGCCATGGCAGACAGGTAAAAACGAAATAGTAAATGTTTAGTCAACAATGAAGCAGGGACACTAGATGTTTCTTTTCTGGAATATGTTCTTCAGTATGCTGAGAGGGTTAAACTGCTTTAAGCCCTCGGTGCACTTGTAATGAACGCTTCCCTATTTGCAACTTTCAATCATTAATCGACTTCACAAGGATTTAAAAGGACAAGCGTTCAGATGATGTGCTGACTTCAGTGTCTCGAACAGGACCAACTGAACTGGGCTGTGAGGCAATATCCAACGAGGGGGGATAGGAATGGGATGGTGTACTGGGTGAGGTCGGCACTGTATTTTTGGAAGAGATGATTGGCCATATCTTCCCATCTATTTGTACCCTAGTTCTCCCGTTGATTAACTTTGGAATTTTCCGAGAGATGGTAAAGCTAGGACTGCCAAACCAACCGCACAGCTATTTTGGACGCTGTAAGGAGGTCGTATGAAGTGATAATCCAGGAGGAGGTTTGTCGTACTGACTCGAAGCTTTTTTAAGTCGATGGTAGAATCTAATAAGAAGGTTCACTCAAAACAGTGCGGATAATTACGTAGAATGTTGCGTTCCGTTGTCAGCATTGTTCTTATGGAAGAGAAAACGAAAGTGATGCCAGTCAGGGTTCCGCTCGAAGATTATAAGGCTTAGGTAACGTCAGTGGGCACTCAGTAGACATAAATTTCACATTTTAGCAAACGAGGAGGTTATCGCTGAAAGTTATGATTCTGCGGACGCAAAAGAGAAAAAATCGACTGAGACAAGTTTTTCTGGTGCTCCTGGATGCCCAAACAAATACAACCCCTATCATTTGTGCACAGAGTACTGCTATGACCACTGGAGAGAAGGCACACCAGAGAGCAGGTATGCGTTGTGTTTTCATACGGTATCCATAATGAAATGCCGGCGAAATGCTTTGACCTTTTGCAGTAGTGCATCCGAGCCATTCACAAATTGCATCCAGTGGCATTCCTTTGGCGTGTGTCGAACTTTTCGAACAATTGCTTGACTGCTCATGACTTTCTAGCGGTTGGACACAAAGTTTGATACCTGCCTTTGCTAGGTCCGAATCTGGATGCGCGTCTGTCACACAGGAGCCAATTCCTCTGCCATGCTGCGCAATTCTATTCAGAACGAATATTCTTGGTGCCTATTGCATCAAGGCTTCGATTTTTAGGCTCTCGGAAACATACCTGCGAAAAAGACGACGGATGCTTGCCAAGTTCCCACTTCCAGAGCCGTGGGTTGAGGTGTATGATGCGGGAATTGCTAGGCATTACTATTGGAATCAAGACACCGACGAGGTTTTGTAACGTATTTATACTCTCATTCAAACGTTGTACTTGTAACCTCTTTTCCAGCAGCTCCACTGCTCGTTAAATTCTCTCATCAGGGAAGGTCATTAGGTCGATCCGGTAATTTCGTTTGTTCAGGTTTGCTGGGTTTCGCCTCGCCATCCTATAGCAGTCATTGGCGAGGCTGCTCCCCGCCTGGCCAGGGAACTGAAAGAACGAATGGAGGGTGCTTCTACGGCAGAAGCTCAGGTTTGTTTTTTATCTAACATTTTAGCTTATTTTGAGCTCATTTGTAGAATTTGAAAATTTGTGTGCCTGTAGCAGCTTTTTTGGTGCTAACTGGGTTGGGGGGGGGACCACGCGGCGGCGCGGCAGTCTGCTCACCTGGGCTCTCTCGAGCGAGACAGTGTAAACTCGAACATTCCAGCTTTTCACGCATGTCAAGTGACTGCCCCACCCCCCACCCCCTAGACTGCCTACACTCCCCCTGGCTCCACGGATTTCCGAACATGCCAGGCGAGCAGACTGCCGCGCCGCCGCGTGGCCCCCCAACCCACTTAGCACCCTTTTTTGCATCTTTCTTCTGGGAACTATCCATTCATTTCGAAGTGATCAGGGTTAAAGCTTTAGTGATTATCATTCTGAGAAAATTCTGATTATCCAAATGATGCTCTTTAAGGAGAAGAAATCTGAAGGGAAACCATTGAAGTCGGCTCTTGCGAAGAAGAAGAGGGTACGTCCAATATTTTTTTGAAGTTCGATTAATTAGCGGTTCACATGCCGCTAATTTCAGCGAAATTCTGATGACTCAGACGGCAATGAGAGAGATGACAGTGACGAAGACACTTCGAAGCTTGAGGAAATGAACGAAAGGGACAAGCTCAGTTAGTTATTTTGCCATTATTTTTTTATCCTACCTATTCTCAAGAATTGTTGAACACCATCTGGGATTAGGTCTTTTTTGTGCAAAAGCAGTTTCAGAGCGAGCACGGCGGAAGGGTATCGATCCTATGGATCCTGCAGCTTATGGAGATGTTCCTGTGTGAGTTCTTCTGCTTTTTGCATTCTGCGTATTTCTTTTTTCTTTGCCAATCATCTTTTATTGTTTCCCTCCAAATGTTATCTTTCCCTTTTTCAAATTATATTTTTGTAGTGGAAAGTGGTCCTTCTGGGCTTCATGCGCATGACAGAACCGGTGCCGATGTGACAGCGGGTGGTCCACTTTTCCAACAACGACCTTACCCCCCACTGGGCCCTTCTACTAAGGCTGCACGAAGAAAGAAGGACGAAGATGACTAATGGAATAAATGTGAAATGTGTCTTTACTATAATTTATAACCATGTTTATCTCTTGTGCAGAAGTGTCGCTTGGTTTTTGCGATAAATGAGAATAAAATTTCAGTGTGTGTTGTGTTGCAAGAATGGTTGTGCTCAAAGGTACTCTTATCTGTAATTGTTGTGCGCTTTTCGTCGTCGTTATCTGTTCTAGCAGCAAGTTCTTCAGATGTTGCTCTTTTGATTTCTTAGTCCCCAACAGAATTTCGCTCAAATTCTTGCCTAATTTTGCGAACAGATGATCCGACGAACTTTTGTCAAAAAACTTTCCAGCTCATGTTTTGAGTAGGTTTTCAGTTCGAAAGAAGCTGCAATTTTGAAATCGTTGACTGTTGCACTTCACAATGTAGCGGACTGTTGTTAACTCTCTAACAAGCAGCGTTTTCCGCCTTGGGTTGAGGTTTGAAAGTTTTATTTTTCGTTGTAAATGCACCAAGAGCGCAAAATTTCAGCGGGGATGTGTACACTTCGTTGTTTCTTTTATATTATTTACTAGAATTATCGCTGTTCATTTTATTGTCATGCACTCAAAACCTCTTGGTTTCCTATCTAGCCATGCTTTTTCGTTGGGTGAATGCTATTTAACTTGTGCTTGGGCTCCACGTTATGTCAAAAAATAACATTTTTTCAAAATACGCCGTGGGTGATAGCTTCGCTTTCGCAGTGTGTACATATTGTAAACTATGCGCCGAATTATGCTTTGAAATTTTTCCTGCATTGATTTAGTTTTTCTGTTGTCATTCTTTCTTACGTGATCAAAATCTCCTCTGCTAAATTTGCTTCAATGATGCGGTCCAGTATTGAACATTGAAAACCAAGCGGGCGCCTCCGGAAGGGCCGCCGTTAGACAAGAGATAATATTGGTAAAAACTCAACACTAATTTTTGTATGCACCTCTCTAATTGATTAAATGGGTTACTTGTCGGCGACTATTGCGATGTTTTTAAGATATGGCTTCTGATGCAATTCACCTTGTGGTATCAAGGTTGTCTGACACCCACAAAGCTGTCAGCGATCACTTAAAAAAAGTTGATCCACTGTGGCTGGTTATTGGAGCAGTGGGAGGAACTGTCGTCTATTTGAAGATCAGCCGTCTTTACAGACGAAGTGAGGAACCTCTAGTAAAACGGTTAGTTCAAAAGCTTTTGTTTATCTGTTGTTAAGTGTTTTTGTTACTCCTTCGAGACGAGCCAAAACATTGACTAGGAGGTCCATCATTGCAGACAAATTGTAAATAATACCACCGTTTTCTGAGTCTATAGGTGTTCCATAGTTATAGCAGACCTCCCTGTAGAGTGAACTCAGGTCATCATGTTTCAGTTTATTTTGGGGAAGACTTGTGATAATAAAAAAGGATAAAAGCATGTGGCCTATACATACAATGACTTGCGGGGGCCAGCCGATGTTCAAGTCAGTGTTTTTATCCTCCCAGACAAGTCTGGTACCAATTAACCGACCCCGGAGGGATGGAAGGCTTGGTTGGCCCGGGCGACTCACGACCCAGGATTTGATCCCCGGACCGCGTGGGTAAGCGTGCCACTTGCCACTACACCACTTCCGCCCGTAAGACTTGTGATGTTAATATCAATGTGCATTCCCAAACGCCCTCCCTCCTCCCCATCTGAAGGATCCCATTTCTTGATTTGTGCTCATTTAATATCGATTCAATTTCTTTCAAATCGCTAATTGCACAGCGTTTTTTTAGACTAGCAGCCTACGCTTTTTCTCAATTTCGTCGCCTACCGACAGTTAGGGCACGAATCGAGAAGGAATTAGCAGGAGCCAAGAAAGAAATTCTGGAGACTATACACAAAGACGACACTGATAGAATCTTCTTATCCGGTACCATTTTATTAAGCGCAAAGGCTTGAGAAAGTAAGCAATGAATGAGATTTTTCACAGAGATACCGGCTAATGGCTTGTCCACGGATGCAGTGGTTAATCTAGCTGATAGATACGATTCTTATGGCAAATTCGATATTGCTGAGGGCGAGTTTCGGGTGGCCGTTTTACACTGATAGATCTCCCGAACATATTGCTTTACTTACTAAGGTGATCGGTTAATACTTTTTCTTTTTCTTCCACAAAGACGTTTAAGAACGTTTCGTTTCAGATTTATGCCAAATATGCTTACTCTAATCCTCTTCACCCGGATATTTTTCCTGGAGCACGGAAAATGGAAGCGGAAACCATCCGCATGGTGGCGATTTTGTTGTTTGTTGTGATTTGCAAAGGTTAGCTTATCTTTTCGTGATGAAGATCTGCTCCAGGTTCTCAATCTGTATAACGCACCATCTGAGAGCTCTGGTAGTCTAACAACTGGTGGTACAGAGTCCATCATCATGGCCTGCATAGCCTACAGAAACAGGTGATTTCTATTTGTATGTTTGAAAGTATCAAACATTGTTCAATGCAGCATTTGCAGAGCTATGCAAATGGGAGTGGAGAGCCCTGTGATCGTTTGTTCTGTAACTGCCCACGCTGCTTTCGATAAGGTACGTACATCCTGTTGGGTAACTGCAAAGATGATCTGCTTTTCACCCTACAACATCATATCGAGCAGAGCCTGTGATTAAACGACTAAACCCCTACTCTATGGAATGTCTCTTACATGCTGCTCACTTCCAAGGGTTCTCCATGTATAACGAACGTTATGAGTCAGCGTTCAATAAGATTTACTCAATGTAACCTCGAAGTCGAGGCACCATAACTCTTCAGATTATCCTCACGTCCCTACGCACGCTTTACTTTGCTTTGGTAACTCATCGTAACCATTTTACTGCAGGCTGCCTTCATATGTGGTATGCGCATTCGTCATATTCCAGTGGATGAAAACAATCGAGTCAATTTGAGCAAAATGGAAAACGCAATAGATTCCGACGTTTGCATGTGATTTTTTAGTTCGCTTATTGTGCTGCTCTGTTGCAGAGTTACAGCACTTTCCGGACAGATTATTAAATTGCAAGCTTGTTGCTTCGGGCAGTCGAATTTCCCATCGGAACAGTCGATCCTGGTCCAGAAGTTGGCACAGGTGGTACACAACGACTCAAAATTAGGAAGATCTATTACAATTAGGCAGCATGCTTGTGAGATCGATGGTTTTCAGCTGGGAAAGAAGTACAACATTCCGGTTCACGTCGATGCGTGTCTGGGAGGATTTCTTATCCCATTCATGGATGAGTGCGGTTTTGACATCCCAGTTTTTGATTTCCGCAATGAAGGTGTAACGAGCAAAAAAAAGCATCAGCTGTGAACACTCACAAAGTGAGTTTGAGACTTCAAAGAACTCTAGCTAGTAATTACTTTGTAATTAATTCCGATTTAGTATGGTTGTACACCAAAGGGCAGCTCTATAGTAATGTATCGATCAAAGGAGTTGCTTCATTACCAGTACTTCTCTGTTCCAGAATGGACTGGTGGTATTTATGCCACCCGACCATCTGTGGTTAGTCACAAATGTATGCTATGGAAGTTATATTATGGTATCAAAATGTTCTGTAATAAAGAAATACCTGATTAATATTACAGGAAGTCGAGCGGGTGCTAATTCGGCTGCAGCTTGGGCCACTCTTTTGTCGTTCGGAAAGAAGGAGTATCGCAGAAGATGTCATGAGATTGTCTCTCACACGAGGAAAATAGCTGCAGGCGTGCAGCAAATAGCTGGTTTAGAGGCTAGTATAGTTGTCGAGATTTTTTTCTGTTATATCATTGCATTTTTTGATTTTTTTCTTTGGCTTCATGCGCTATCTTGTGGGCATTTCAAGGCTAGTCGTCCCACCGCGCATGTGTGACACAGGAAGTTAGCGAAGTGGGTGCCATGACTGAGAGCCTTTTGATGACGCCGTTTGCCGTCATTGGTGGAAGGGCGCTGGGGGTGTGGTTGGGTCTGCTTCCTAATACCCTTCCTCCAGTGACGCTCAATGAACATCGCGTCTGCCTTCGGGAGAGCGTATAAAATTTTCTATAAAGAACGTAAAAAAGAAACTTGGAAGTTGTAAAAAGTGGAAGATTGCTCATACTTCTTGCTCCTTGCGCTTTCTTTTTTCAGTGTAATCGTGGTATCAAAGCATAAAGGATAAAGGATAAAGCATTTGCCGTTGATCAATCCCTTTTGGGATGCGGCACACGCATTCTACTTCCATTTGTACATTCGTAGTGGCGTTTGAATGCGATGTGGCCTATACAATGACTTGCGGGGGCCAGCCGATGTACAAGTCAGTGTTTTTATCCTCCCAGACAAGTCTGGTACCAATTGACCGGATGGAAGGCTTGGTTGGCCCGGGCGACTCACGACCCAGGATTTGATCCCCGGACCGCTCGCGTGGTAAGCGCGCCACTTGCCACTACACCACTTCCGCCCGTCAAGCATAGCATGTAGTATTATTTTTGTTATCCCGAAAATTTTTTAGCTTTTAGCTGCATGGTTCTCCTGACGTGTCCGTTGTTGCATTTAAAAGTTCTGTATTCAACATCTATGCAGTGAGTGACAAAATGAATAAACGAGGGTGGAACCTAAATACGTTGCAGAATCCGAACGCGTGAGTGAAAGAACAATGCTTATTATTTCAAAGACGTTACATAAATCTCTAACCCATTGTTGTTTAGCATTCATATCTGTCTCACCTATAATCACGCCAGCCAAGAAGTGGTGGATGCTTTCTTGAGAGATCTCAAAGAAGTAGCTGATGAAGTAAGCAGAAGTAGTGACAAAGGGAACAAAAGTAGTACGGTAAGCAGTTGTGGTTCTTTGCATTTTTTTATCCATTTGGAACAAGTTTCTTTAAGGCTGCTCTCTACGGTATGGCTGCTCAAATTCCCGACAAGTCCTTGGTAGATGAAATGACGTACGAGTTCCTGGACGCGTGCTACGCAAAACCACCTCTCCATTGATCTGGATATGTTTCTCAATATTCGTTGCCATATTTTTTATCTACTTGTTCGTGTGTTGCTGGTCATTCAGTTCATTTTTATTAAAGGACTCGTGATATTCTAAGTCATTTCTCATCAAAATGCTTCTTTCTTGATTCGAATTGTCACTCGGAGGTTCTTAACATATCCATACTTTGTCACTTTTTATGAGTCCGCTAAGTCTTTTGTATAAACAGTTGTAATATTTCATACTAATGTTGAAAGACGGTTTAACACAGCAACTACTTTCAAGTTTTCGGTGCCATGATTGATCAATCGATGTAGCGTCCTCCCCTGTACAAACCAATGCAGCAGCTTGTACAGTGATATGTACATCACTGAGGCAACGTTCATACTCAGCGTTCTGAGAGATTTAGAGTTTCGAAGTAAAACAGGAGAGAATAGGTGCTGGTTAGCATAACTGACGAAGTGGAGAATCTAGACAACCAGGAAATGGTACAAAAAAAACTATATTTTGTCATGTACCTAGTGCGCGCCTTATCACTCGAAACAGATTTTCATACTCGATATCCGAGAGTTGGGGTAGGCTTGTCATCGGAAATGACGTGCACTTGATAGAAGCTATGTGGATAAGATCCTTCCACATACATCGCTGGATATCAGCAAAGCATGCTGGCAGCAGCTTATCCACCACTCTACTTCAAATGCAAGTTAACTCTCGGTGACATGCCTAGCCCACTGTCCGATATCGATGGTGCATACGCATCCCACCCAGGGTCAACCCTACGTTGTACAAGTACAACGGGGGGTCGTACCTGGTTGAGTTTGTAGGAGGGGGGGGGGGGTCGTACCCACTTTAGTCGCTCGAAATCACGTGTGGGATTGAGGTGAAACTAAGATTTCGTGGGTAGTAGGCTGGGCGAGTGGAGGGCGCGCAGGATAAAAATTTGCCGTTTCAGCGGGCGTATATACCCCTAGAAAAGGAAGTAGTGGGAGTATAGGTAAGAAATGGGTTGAAATGGTGGAAATAGAAGGAAATTTTCGGAGAGATATTTACCGTTTCAGAGTGACTATATACCCTCCCGCTCGACGGCATTTTTGGAGGTAGAAGGGAAAAAGTGGGAGTCGGAGTTTGGTGGGTTGAGTGGTACCAGAATTAAATACTGAGAGAATAGAGAGGAATATGGTGGTCGAGGGTCGAAAAGGGGGTCGTACCAAGTCCACCTTGGGGAGGGGGGTCGTAAAAATTTTTGAAAAAGTAACAACGATAGGACTGACCCTGCATCCAACATGCATCCAATCTTTTTCCCAGGTTTCAGATTGTCCAGTTCCCGATTCTCCCAGGAGGCTAACCATGAGCATGCGTAAGGGCAAGCAATAGGGGTTTCCTTTTAGGCTGATGTCAGAGTCCGCGATCCGTCGCAGGTTTCGCTGATTTTCGCGATTTGCGCGATTCACGCGACGGGTCACGGAAATCACAAGTGCCCGATCAATACTGCAAGGTGTCCTGCCGCCACTTCTGCTTGATAGTGATGGCTGAATGACGACTGCTCATGATTCCACTTGTTTCATATTCAGTGTTTCAAATGTTCACACACTTGCAATTTTTGCGATCCGTCGCGTGAATCGCGCAAATCGCGAAAATCAGCGAAACCTGCGACGGATCGCGGACTCTGACACCAGCCTTAGATGTGAAATGTCGCACAGCGCATCGGGTGGAGACGCTGAATTGGCTCAGAATGCTTCAACCCAGTTGATAACTTACAGGGAATTCTTTGTTTTGTTGCGTATCACATGTAGAGCGTAGTTTTTGGGATAACAATATCTGCTTCAATTGACGTTCAATTCTTGAAAACACCGCGAGGAAGCATGACATCAGCTTGTTTTGGAAAGTGTGGTTGCGGGTGAAATCCATTGTCTGAGACGAATCCGCGATTTTTTGCGTGTCATTACATTGCGAAGGAATGGCATTATTGTTTCCTTTTTCTTCAAGACATTAATCTCAGTGTTACTTGAGTCTTTGGTTCATTTTCTAGATGTTACTACGGATACGAATTAGCAATGCGCTCCTTGTTGCAAGACGTTTCGCAGCTGTGAAACCGGAGAAAACACCTGAACTCAAGTTCAGCGAGTCTGCAGCATTTCAAGTGAGTCTTCTCTGAGATAAATTTGTCGCTCCTGTGTGCCACGGCTCCTTGTTCTTCAAATGAATAATACAGGGTCGAAGACGTGGTGCAGGTGTGGCGAAACCTGCATATCAAATGGATTACTACACAAGCGATGAGTTCGGAAGAAAGAAATTGATATCTGTTCTTGGTAGTCTTGCTATCTTCATCTTATACTTTGGTTACTTGAGGTATGTCTTAATCTTTTCTCTTACGTCTGTATAGAAAGAAGACTCGCAGTCATTTTCATATTGCAGGGAACCATCAGATTTGGATGAAATTTGGAGTGCACCGCCTCATATCCTAACGACTAATCTTGAACGAAAAATGCTCCGTGAGAAGATTAAGCAGGTAAGCCTAAAAATGAATAGGTTAAGCGTGTAGGTTAGCATCCATTTACGCCTCAGCAAAAATTTCTTTGTTCAGGCTGAAAGCAAGGGCGAGGATACGACTCTCTTGAAGGCACAGCTCGAATACGTGGACGTTAAAGAAGCAGCACTCAAAATACAGTTCTCAAATGATAGCAAGAAAAAGTAGAATTTTAGCGTCTAGATGTGTAGTGTAAATATTTCCTCTCGAATGCTTTTTGTGTGCCTTGCAATACATTTAGTAAAAGATCGGGTTCACAACGTCTTGGATTCTACGGGAAATAGTCTCGAATTGATGTGTCGTTAATTTGGAGAGCATTCCGTAACACTTTTCCATCATGGTAAAAATATCTTTGTAAAGGATAATAAGCTGAAAAATGAAGAAATGAGATAGAAGTTGCGTGAGTAAGCTGTTGCCAGCATGCTTTGCTGATATCCAGCGATGTATGTTGGAAGCAGCTTATCCACATAGCTTCTATCAAGTGCACGTCACGCTTACCCCACTCTCGGATATCGAGTATAAGTACTACCGTAGACGGGACCACTCTACGTCCATCTGTTTACAAACCACCTCTGTTTGGCCATTTCGGACCACTACGTAAAGTGCAGAATTCATCAAAGAAGTGAAGTTTACGCCGTGCTCCAAATTTTAGGGTTGTGCCGTAGAGGGTGAATTGAAGAGGTTCGAAGGGGAGAAAAAGAGCTGATCTTTTATAAGGGGTCCGCTTTTGCCTTTTTGGGAAAGTACTACTAAAGGCGGACGGCGAAAGAGTCTATTTCAGAAGATGAGAAGAGCGTCGAGTGCAGTCCAAACACCACAAGTGACGACGGTTGCGAAAGAAGTTGCCATTCTATTGTGTGCTAACTTAGTTGGGGGGGGG